CCATTGCTATTTCAAATAGTCCTGGAAGTTTTAGCCACAGTAATTATGTTAGAAAAAGAAATCAAAGGAATACAAATTGGGAAGGAGGAAGTCAAACTATCCCTATTTGCAGATGACATGTTTATATATATTAGAGATACAAAAGACTCCACTAAGAGACTATGGAACTCATAAAAGGGTTTGGTGAAGTGGCAATATATAAAAATAAAACTAAAAAATCAATAGCCTTTATATACACAATGTCATGGCTGAGAAAAAACTTCTAAGTTCAATCCCACTCAAAATATCTACAAAAAATCAAATACCTTGGAATCAATTTAACCAAGGACATCAAAGATCTCTATAATGAAAATTAGAAACATTATAGAAAGAAATAGAAGAAGACAACAAATAATGGAAAAGTCTTCCATGTTCATGGGTTGAAAGAATCAATATCATCAAAATGTCCATACTACTGAGAGCAATTTTCATATTCAATGTGATACCAATCAAAATACCAAATACATTCTTCTTCGATATAGAAAAATCAATGCTTAAAATTCATATGGAAACACAGGAGGCCCTGAATAGCTAAAGCAATCCTATATAACAAAAACAAAGCGAGAGGCATCACAATACCAGATTTCAAGACATATTACAGGGTAGATATAATCAAAACTGGCACAAAGACAGATGCGAAGACAAATGGAACAGAAGAGAAACCCCAGAAATGAATTCACACATCCACAACCAACTTATCTTTGACAAAGTAGCTAAAATCAATCCTTGGAGCAAGTACAGTCTGAAAATAAATTGTGCTGTGGAGAGGGTGGTGCTGTGGCCTAGTGGGTAAAGTCACCACCTACAGTGCTGGCCTCCCATATGGATGCCGGCTCCAGTCCCAGCTGGTTCCACTTCTAATCCAGCTCTCTGCTATGGCCTGGGAAAGCAGTAGAAGCTGGCCCAAGTCCTTAGACCCCTGCACCCACATGGGTGATCTGGAAGAGGTGCCTGGCTCCTGGCTTCAGATCTGCACAGCTCTCATTGCACCCAATTGGGGAGTGAACCAGAGGAGGAAGACTTTCTGTCTCCCTCCCTCTCTCCCTCCCTTTCTCTCTCTCTCTCGCTCTCTCTGCCATTTCTCCTCTCTCTGTCTAACTCTTTCAACTAAATAAGTAGATCTTTGGCTGGCACTGCAGCCCAATAGGCTAATCCTCTGCCTGCGGCACCAGCACACCAAGTTCTAGTCCTGGTCGAGGCGCCAGATTCTGTCCTTGTTGCCCCTCTTCCAGTCCTGCTTTCTGCTGTGACCCGGGAGTGCAGTGAAGGATGGGCCAAGTCCTTGGGCCCTGCACCCTCATGGGAGACCAGGAGAAGCACCTGGCTCCTGGCTTCGGGTCAGCACGGTGCACTGGCCACAGCATGCTGGCCACAGCAGCCACTGGAGAGTGAACCAATGGAAAAGGAATACCTTTCTCTCTGTCTCTCTCTCACACTGTCCACTCTGCCTGTCAAAAATAAAATAAAAATAAAAAATAAGTAGATCTTTAAAATAAATAAATAAATTGTGCTGGGAAAACTGGATCTCTGCATGCAAAAGTTTGAAATAAGACCCCTATCTTACAGATTACTCAAAAATCCACTCAAAAATGCATCAAAGACCAAATCTATGACCAACCATCAAATTATCAGAGAACATTGGGGAAACCCTGCAAGACATTTCCATAAGCAAAGACTTCTTGGAAAAGTCCCCAGAAGTGCAGGACATCAAATCCAAAATTGACAAATGGGATTACATTAAATTGAGAAGCTTCTGTACTGCAAAAGAAACACTCAGCAAAGTGAAGTCAACCAACAGAATGGGAAACAATGTTTTCAAACTATGCAACTGATAAAGCATTAACATGCAGAATATATGCAGTGTTAAAGAAAATAAACAACAAGTAAACAATCCAGTTAAGAAATAGGCAACAGACTCAAATGGGCATTTTTCAAAAGAGGAAATCCAAATGGCCAACAGACACATGAAAAAATGCTCAGGATAACTAGCTATCAGGGAAATGTAAACCAAAATGACAATGAGGTTTCACCTTACTCCCATTAGAATGGCTTGATATAAAAATCAACAAACAAATGCTGGAGAGGATGTGGGGGAAAGATATCCTAATCCACTGTTGGTGATAATGTGGACTGGTGTAGCCACTGTGGAAACAGCATGGAGATATTTCAGAAACCTAGATACTGTCCTGACATATGCTCCAGACAATCAACTCCTGGAAATTTACCCAAAGGAAATGAAATCAGCATATGAAAGAGTTATCTATACCCCCATGTTTATTACAGCTTCATTCCCAATAGCTAGGAAATGGAATCAACCCAAATGCCCATCAGCTGAAGACTGGATAAAGAAATTGTGGAAAATATACACCATGGAATACTACACAGCAATTAAAAAAAGTGAAATCCTGTCATTTGCAACAAAAGGGATGTAACTGGAAAACATTATACTTAATGAAATAAGCCAGTCCCGAAAAAGCAAATGGCATATATTCTCCCCGACCTGTGGTAACTAATAGAGTACCTAAAAGGTAATCTGTAGAAGTGAAGTTGACACTTTGAGATGCGATGACTTTGAACAGCCTTTGTCTTGACTGTTGGGGAACAGTTTTTTTTCCATGCTATTTGTTGAACTCTTTACTTAGAGTATGGTTAATTTCATGTGTACAAAATTAGTTGAAAATATATCTCAGTAAACATTAAGAATGGGAATAGGATAGGAAGGAGGATGATGAGTGGGAGTGAAAGTGGGAAGGAGGATACGGCAACAAGAATCACTATGTTCTTAAAGTTGTATTTATGAAATACATGAAGTTTGTATACCTTAAATAAAAGGTTTCTAGGTAATAATAAAAAAGGTTAGAATCCAATCAGACAAAAAAAGAGAAAAGAATTTAAAAGAATGAAGAAAGTCTATGCAAAATATACCATTAAATGACCAAATATTCATATGTTAAGTACTCCTGAAAGGGAAGAAAAATAAAAAGGCATTAAAAACTTGCTAAATGAAATATTTGAAAATTTCCCAGGTCTTAAAAGAGACATGGACATCCAGACATGAGAATCTCAAAGAATTCCAAGCAGACTCAACCAAAAAATTTCTTTTCCAAAACATATCATTGTCAAATTGTCAAAAGTTAAAGACAAGGAAAGAATCGTAAAGGCAGAAAAAGCATCAAGTCACATGTAGAGGAAAATCAATTAGATTAATATCAGACTTCACAACAGAAACCCTACAGGCCAGAAGAGAGTGGGATGATATATTCAAGATCTTAAAAGAAAAAAATACTTCCAACCCAGAATATTATATCCAGCAAAGCTATCCTGTAAAAATGAGGAAAAAATAAAGTATTTTCCAAATAAGCAAAAACAGAGAATTCACTGCCACCAGACCAGCCTTACAAGAAATACTGGGGGCCGGCGCTGTGGCGTAGTGGATAGAGTTGCCACCTGCAGTGCCTGCATCCCATATCAGCACTGGTTCAAGTCCCTGCTGCTCCAATTCCAAACCAGCTCCCACGTGGGAGAACCAGAGGAGGCACAGCTCCAGCCATTGCGGCCATTTGGGGAGTGAACCAGCGGTTGGAAAATGTGCCTCTCTCGCACGCTCACTCTCTCCCTTTCTCCCTCTCTCTCCCTCTCTCTCTCTCTCTCTCTCTCTGCCTCTGCCTCTCTATAACTCTGCCTTTCAAATAAATAACTCTTTTTTAAAAAGGACATTGAAAGATTCTATTCAGCAAGAAAACATAAGAATCATAAACATATATGCACACAACACAAGATGACCCAGACATAAGCAGTAAATACTATTAGATCTAAAGACAGAGATAGACTCCAATACAGTTATAGTGGGCGACTTAAACACCCCACTCTCATCAATGGACAGATCATCCAGACCAAAAAAATCAGTAAAGATACATCAGAGTTGAAACACAATCAAGCAAATGAACCTAACAGACATTTACAGTACATTTCACCCAACAGCTACAGAATACAAATTCTCATTAGCACATGGAACATTTTCTAGGATAGACCACGTATTAGGCCACATATCCAGTCTCAGCAAATTTAAAAAGATTGAAATCATATATTTTATCTTCTCGGACCATAAAGGAGTAAAACTAGAAATCAACAATGAGAAAAACAACGGAATACTCATAAATACTTGGAAATTAAACAACATGCTACTGAATGATCAATGGACCATTGAAGAAATTGAAAAGAAAATCAAAATCTTTCTTGAAATAAATGAAAATGAAAACAACATATCAAAATCTGTGAGAGGACTATCAGAAATGTTTGACAAAGAACTGAAAAAACAGCAAAAACTCCATAGGACAGAAGGAGAGAGGGCAGGGACATCATTGCAGCCAACCACATGGTGAAGCCAGCTGCCCACTGTGAGCCACAATCATTCCACAACAAGGGAGGAAGAAATCATCTCTTGTCCCTCTGCCCACAGTTTTAGCTGAGAAAGAATTCCACAGGCACCTACTGGCTTTTACTTCAGCCTGGAAAGCAACTGCCAGGCTTGGAGCAGGGAAGTTGAACTGCTTCTTCCCCTCTCCTACTCCTGCAGAGCACCATACTCAGCAGTAAAAAGTCAGGCAGTGGTCCTGTGTTCCCCTCCTTCCAGTATCAGAATCAGCATCAGGATACACCATCTTCTTAAGGAGAAATAAGAGGAGACTACAGCAACCCATGTCACTGGGGATATTGCCTGTGGGAGAACCCTGGGGACCACCAGGACTCTGAGCATGGCCTGCAGCACTAGCTAGTGACAGGGTGCCCACCTAAACCCGTGAAGCAAGACCACATTGTCTGTTTTCCATCCCCTCCACAAGGGCTCCCAGGAAATATGCCATCTTAAAAGGAAAGTACAAGCTGCCAGCCATGCAAGTACAGCTCCTGCATGTGTGACTAGCGGATTATATCTGAGGGAAAAATCTGCGGTCTCCACTGACCTTGAGTCTGGCCTGGAGAGTTGGAAGGGGGCAGGACACCCACTTAAGCCTGTGAGGTGCACCCTCCTCATGTATCACCGGTGCCTGTATTTAAACTGCCAAGGCAGAACACCAATAGGCAGCTGGGTCTGGGAAGGTCTCAGCTCTCTCCACAAATGGAGCAGCCTCATAGGGCTGAGAGTGGATGCCCTGCTCTCTGTGACAGGTGGAGCCCTTCATGCTGTGACTGTCAGAATTCTGTGACTGCACAATGGGCATGGAATGTAGCTGGGTCTCTGGGCAATCACTGTGTCTGGCTTCAAGGCTCAGATTTCCCTGAGTACCTGGGGTGGGTACTCAGGTTCTGTGCACAGATGGCTCTATGTTCACAGAGAGCACAGTACAGTCCTTTGTGTTGTTCTTGTGGATGTGAGTGGGGTGTAGCCACTGTGGGCTCATGCTGGGCATTGGTCAACTTGGCAGAGGGGAGGTGAGAAAGTGATCACGCTAGCCACTGTGATCACACCCTCCCCCCTACTGAACTTAGAGGTCTACCATGCCCAATGTGGGTGTCACCCTAGACTCTTCTACCACTCTCAAACACTAACCAGAGATTCCTGGCCTCACCCAGTACACACCTCTGAATATCCACTGAAGGAGTGGAGACTGAAATATGTCACAGAGGCACATCACAGATAAAATCCATCAAAGGAGAAAACTAATAAGTAGCTCTACAAATACCTAAAAATAACTTTCAAACATGAGGAACAAGAACAAGGAAGACAGTATGACTCCCCCAAAGGAACACAATAATGCTGCAATATCACAATGTAAAGATGAAGAGATTGATGAAATGCCTGAAAAGGAATTCAAAAGAATTATCATAGAATTACACAAAAGCGATGAGAAGCAAACTCATGGGTTAAGGAAATGCAGGGGCTGCTGCTGTGGCTTAGTGGGTAAAGCCATTGCCTACAGTGCCGGGATCCCATATGGGCACCAGTTCGAATCCCTGCAGCTCCACTTACAATCCAGCTCACTGCTATGGACTGGGAATGCAGTAGAAGATGGCCCAAGTCCTTGGGCCCCTGAACCAGCATGGGAGACCAGGAAAATGCTTCTAGCTCCTGGCATCGGATTAGCATAACTCCAGCTGCTCCAGCCATTGCAGCCATCTGGAGAGTGAACCAGCAGATGGGAGACCTCACTCTCTCTGCCTCTGCATCTCTGTAACAGCTGAAGAATGCACACTGAGTTCCTCAATGCATGGAATTTTCTCTAGGATAGACCATATACTAGGCCATAAAGGAAGTCTCAACAAATTCAAAAAAATTGAAATTATATCATTTATCTTTTCTGAATACAGTGGAATAAAGCTGGAAATTAACAACTTAAGAAGCTCCAGAAAATATGCAAACATATGGAGACTGAATGACATGTTCCTGAATGAACAGTGGTTCATAGAGGTAATAAAAAACTCATTGAAACAAATGAAGGTGAAAACACACCATATCAAAACCTATGGAAGGGTCTGGCACTGTGGCATAGCAGGTTAAGCAGTGGCCTTGCAGAGGCAGCATCCCATGTGAGCACCAGTTTTATTACCAGCTGCTCCACTTCTAATCCAGCTCCCTGCTAATGCTCCTGATAAAGCAGCAGAGAATGGTCTTTGTGCTTGGGACACTGCACCCCCAGGAGAGACCAGAGGAAGCTGGCTCCTGGATTCAGCCTGGCCCAGCCCCATTAGTTGAAGCAATTTAAGGAGTGAACCAGCAGATGGAAGACCTTTCTCTCTGTCTATCTCTCTCTGTATCTCTGCCTTTCAAATAAATAATGAATAAATAAATCTAAAACCTATGAGATACAGCAAAAGCTTTGTTAAGACTGAAAATGATGAGGTTGTTGCCTATAGCATTGTAGGTTAAGCTTCCACCTGTGGTGCTAGCATCCCAAATGGGCATTGGCTTGAGTCCCTCCTGCTTCTCTTCAAATCCAGCTCTCTGCTAATAGCCTGGGAATGCAGTGGAAGATGGCCCAAGCACTTGGAACCTTGCACCTGCATGGGAGACCCAAAAGAAGCTCCTGGCTTCTGGCTTCAGCCTGGCCCAGCCCTGCCAATTGTAGACATTTGGGGAATGAACCAATAAACAGAAGATCTCTCCATCTCTGGCTGTCTCTTCCTTCTCTCTCTGTAGTTTGACCTTTCAAATCAATAAAAATAAATCTTTAAAAAAAAAGTCTATCATCTAGGAAAACCCTGGGATTTGATAGCTTTACTATCAAATTATACAAAGCATTCAAAGAGGAAGTAACTCTAATACTCTTTAAAATATTGAACGGCATGGAAATTTGCAAAACATTTTATGAGGCCAGCATTACTTTAATACTAAAACCATACATGACATGAAAAGAAAACTATAGACAAATATACTTAATGAACATAAATGCAAAGATTCACAACAAGATACTAACAAATCAAATCCAAAACCACATCAAAAAGATCATACATCACAGTCAAGTGGAATTTATCCAAGAAATACAAGGGGGGTTCAATATTCACAAATCAATAAACATCATAAATCACATCAATGAAGAACAAAAGCCATATGGTCATATCAATAGATGCAGAGAAAGCATTTCATAAGATTCAACACCCCTGGGGACAGTGCTATGACATAGATGGCTAAGCCACCACCTGCAGCACCGGCATCCCATATGGGCACCACTTCAAGTCCACGCTGCTCCACTTCTGATCCAGCTCCAAGCTAGTGTGCCTGTTAAAGCAGTAGAAGGTGGCCCAAATTCTTGGGCCCCTGCACCCATGTGGGAGATCTGGAAGAAGCTCCTGGCTCCTGGCTTTGGATTTGCCCAGCTCCAGCCACTGAGGCCACTAGGGGACTAAACCATCAGATGAAGGATCTCTCTCTCTCTCTCTCCCTCCCTCTCTGCTTCTGACTCTCCTTCTCCAAAACTCCACCTTTCAAGTAAAATACATAAATATTTAAAAAAAGATTCAACACCCCTTCATGATAAAAAAAAAAAAAACTCCACATATTAGGTATAGAAGGAACATTCCTCAAAATTATAAAGGCTATATATGACAAACCAACAGCCAATATCATAATGAATGTTGAAAAGCTGAAAACATTTCCCCTCAGATCCAAGAGAAGACAAGGATATCCACTTTCACCATCCTCATTCAATATACTACTGGATATTTTAATAAGAGCAATTAGGGAGGAGAGAGATATAAATGGCAGCAAAATTGGAAAAGAGAAACTCGAATTATCCATATTTGCAGATGACATGATGCTGTGCATGTAAAAACCTAAAAACTCCACCAAAAAGCTGTTAGAATTGATAAATCAATTCATCAAACTTGCAGGTTACAAAATAAACATACAAAAATGATGAATTCACAGAAAGAGAATTCAAAAAAGAAATACCATTCACAATAGCCACAAAAAATCAAATATCATTTATACAATTTAACCAAAGAAATAATAGATCTCTACAATAAAAATTATTAAACATTGATGAAAGAAATCATCAAGGACACCAAAATCATGGAAAGATATTCCTTCATCATGGATCAGAATAATCAATATCATTAAAATGTCTATACTACCTAAAGTAACCTACAGAATCAATACAATCTCTATTAAAATACCAATGACATTCCTTACAGAACTAGAAAAAGCAATCCTAAACTTTATATGGAATCACAACAGGCCCAGAATAGCCAAAATGATCCTGAATAAGAAAAATCCAGCTGGAGGAATCACAATATCTGACCCCAGGTTAGGCACACACCGCCCAGAAGCATACGCCACTTCTTGGCTCCTCCTTTTATTTTCGGTTCACCCGGTGAATTCACATAAGGGACTGATCATCCCAGAATTTGGAACCAAGTCATCTTCCCTCACTCAAGAGAGGTGACACTCCGGAGACACCGTGTGGGTATACGGCCTTGATCTAACGAATCAAGGAAGTCCCCCACTAAGCACAGGACATATGTACCATCTGATACAACACTGCCTGTTCATCTAATGTAGGGAACCCCCTGCATGATGCCATCAGCCACTGAGGTGCTAGGAATTTGTTTTGTTATGGCAGTAGTGCTGTGTGTCTTTCCTTTGGCTAGAGTTGGCATGGCATGCCTCTCTTAAGCACTCAAACAAGGGAAACATAGCCCCCTCTCACAAGCCCACACAGATTACCAAACATAGTGAATTTGTGAGTGATAAGAGCCTGTCACTCCAGGCCTCTGCCTCACAGACAACAGTTGATGACTTAAGGAGAGAGAGCTCTGACAGTGAAAGTGACAATGTAGCAAACAAGGTAGCAATGCCTCTTCGGCCACCCCCCAAATACTCGTGGGATAAACACAGACGACCTAGAGGCAATAACCCATGCGAGTTATTCCCATGCACACCCAGTGAGGATCCCCACATTTGTGACAGTCCTCGGGTACCTCAGGCTCTCAGGGCAGCTGCTAGACGCCATCCCACTCGCATGTTTGCCATTAATGCAAGGGCAGTTGCATAATTCAGGCCCTGGATTCCAACACCCATAAATGACCTTACTATGCTAAAAAAGGCTTCCCAAGAGTCAGGCCCTGACTCTCCCTACTTTGAACAGGTGCTCACACAATAGGCAGTGAACCTTCAAACTCATTTTTACTGGGTTATACTGCTCAAAGCATGTTTGTTGAGACCACAGTTCTAACAGTGGAAAGCCTCCTGTGAGGAAGAGGCTGAAACTGTGGTGAGGAATAATGCTGCCTATGGAATTACAGTAACCTTTTATATGCTTACAAGACGTGGCATCTACATATATCCCCATGAACAGGCCCACATTGGATTAGTTGCCTATTTTGGTCAGGTCAGAGATTTGGCACTTAGAGCCTTAAAAAATATAAATCCTCCTAATTATAGTTAGCTCTTTAGAAACCTAGTTCAAGGCCCAGGTGAATGGTTCCCCTATTTCCTTGCCAGAGTCTTGGAGGCAGTAGAGAAAAGATTACCACTTGGCCCTGATCAAGACAATCTGGTCAAACAATTAGCTTGGGAAAGTGCTACCAAAGAGGCAAAAGCTGCAATCGTCCCAGTCTGTAATGAAGACATTTCTAAATGGATAGTAGCCACAAAGGAGATAAACCCTGCTGATACACCTAGAACAAGCCCATATGCTACACTAAAAATTCCATATGTCAGCAAGCAACATAAAATTGCTTTCCTGGAGCTAACAATGAGCCAATGCAAACACCTAGTGCACTCTTGCAAGAATTGTGCACCCCTCGCCCCGTTAGGCCCACTGCAACAAGCAGGAGTGAACCCATGAGGCCTTGCACCTAATAAGCTCTGGCAAGGGGACGTCACCCACATTAACTCCTTTGGTAAACTTAAGTTTGTCCATGTGGTGGTAGATACTTATTCAAAGGCTATATTTGCAACAGCCCAATATGGAGAAAAGGCTAGTAATGTGATAAAGGCGGTTGAGTCAGCCCTGCTGGTCTCTGGTGCCCCCTGAACCATAAAGACTGATAACGGGCCAGCGTATACATCACAGGAATTTATTTTATTTTTTTTTAACTTTTATTTAATGAATATAAATTTCCAATGTACGACTTATGGATTACAATGGCTTCCCCCCATACCGTCCCTCCCACCCACAACCCTCCCCTTTCCCACTCCCTCTCCCCTTCCATTCACATCAAGATTCATTTTCGATTATCTTAATATACAGAAGATCAGCTTAGTATACATTAAGTAAGGATTTCAACAGTTTGCTCCCACACAGAAACATAAAGTGAAAAATAATAGATGATTTTTTTAAATGATGATGAAATCAGATCAGACCTATTGTCATGTTTAATCCCAGTGAGAGTCAAGTTGGGAATTGATAATTTCTTTTTTTTTTTTTACAGAAGATCAGTTTAGTATGCATTAAGTAAAGATTTCAACAGTTTGCACCCCCATAGAAACACAAACTGAAATATATTGTTTGAGTACTTGTTATAGCATTAAATCTCAATGCACAGCACATTAAGGACAGAGATCCTACATGAGGAGTAAGTGCACAGTGACTCCTGTTGTTGACTTTACCAATTGACACTCCTGTCTATGGCATCAGTAATCTCCCTAT